CTGCTGTTGAGTCCCAAATATAGGACGAAACGCCTGTCCAGTGCATTCTGTTGAGGTTTCTTCTAGACTCGATGAATTATTTAATTATCTCAAATCCTCTTAATTTATATATATATATATATATATATATATATATATATATACTGCGGCCATGGTCATAATTGCACCATTTTTTAAAGTGACGTAGTCCTGCTTCCTTTGAAATAACCTTTTACATGGGGCTGAACACTAAGCGTAGGCGTCCGTGGTAAAAAAAATATCCTCTAAGCAGGCTCATTTGTTACGTTAATGTATGTTACTTGTCCGGCTAATGACGTACAATTATTAATAGCCGTAAGAACGAACATAATATTGTGAATATGTTGAATACATTTACGAATTGTCATGTGTTTTCCTGCTCAAGTGATGATGACGTATATCCATTTATCATTGTTTCCCCGTCTACTTTTGCTGTAGACACGCCAACAGCGTTTGATGACACCGACATTTATGGCCACCGGACATGTTTGTTTGTCCTAACCTCAAGAAAGAACTCTGCCAGCTGGTTTGATGTCACTGCTCTTCGGCGGAAACTTCCTGAACAATCTTTTTTTTTTTTCTTTTTCGGCTTTTATCTTTTGTCGATTTTGATCCAACACGTCCGATCGTTACATGTTATTTTAACACTTTAGCCACAGATACGCACAGCAGCAAAATAGCTTTGAAGCAATATCCGCTTCTCTGGATAGATGGAATCACTGTAGCGTTTTTCTTTTTCATTTATTTACATAAGTTTTAACATAGGATGGAAAATGTAACACCAAAATCTGATGGCGCAGTGGGATAGAAAAGATGCCTTCCAAAAACTAAGCAAGGTATTAAGAAACAGGATAATTTCGTTAGAAACAAAAAAAATAATGCTGAGCTGCTTTATAATATCAACCCTCCCATAAAAATGATGGGCAATTTCATTACATATGAAGAGAAGACTTGAGGCATCAGAAATGTGGCTCTACAGAAAGATGCTGAGAATGACATAGACAGGGCGCATAAGCAACGAGGAAGTTTTATATTGAAACGAAAAGGTCTCTTATATTTAGAATTAGAAATTTCCGGGAAATAATAAGGAAAGAAGGCTCGGGAAATATGACACTTACTGGGCATATGTAAGGCAGACGTCACAGAGGAAATAGCGCGTGTATAAAGCGCCTATGTAAATGGATGGCATAACAGCGAGTAAAAGAGATGGTGAGAAGCAAATATTGCTAAGAGTTACAAAGGATAGGAAGTTGTGGCGAGCCCTCATCGCCGACCTAACAAGCGTGTGTAAATGGATGGTAAAACAGGATAAGAAGTTGTGGAGAGCTATGATCCCACATATACTGATTGGGCACGCACACAGAAAAAGTTAATACCCTATTTCGAAACAGCTTATAGATACTCGTAATTTTTTAAACCTCCGCATTTTTTAATATGAATTAAGATAATGAAGCGATATTTATTTGCGCTGACAGATGAAACTACAAGTGATGAAGGTTGAAACCGTGGCATTTATCCCGAGAGGTATCTGAGAAACGTGTTCTTATTAAGATCAGAACCGATTATGATCAAAAGCAGCAAAAACCCTGCTTTTCTGTTAAAAATTTCTCCCGTTTTACTTCTTCCTCTCTAAACCAGTGATTCCTATCCTTTTTCCAAGTTCGCGCCTCTTTCAAAGCACAAATCAGTTCTCGCACCCCTTTCAAATCACAGATCAGTTCTCGCACCCCGTTCAAACCACCAACCAGTTCTCGCACACCCTTTAAACCACCAACCAATTCTCGAACCCGTTTAAAACCATCAGCCATTTCTCTCACCCCTTTCCGGAATTGATTAAAAGAATATTGATCTCATGTGTAAACAACAAAACCATCATATCTTTAATCTTTATTCACATAGCTGACAATAACATAATGCATTACAAAAACTCAGATTACTTTCATATTAGCAAAAATATAAAATGAAAATAACGTGCTTGTTGTCTTGTGAATGATAATGGTTGAGCAACAAACTGTGTGGTTTTCTGTTTATGATGACATCAAGTCTTGGTGTCTTAGTGCTGAGTGTTATTCACATGTCGTATTGCGGATCCAGTCGATTTCTGCTCTTGGTTTTGATGTGAAGCAGACAGAAAAATCCAGTTTCGCACAGGTATGTATTCGCGAAAGACACCAGAACAGCGAGAGCTTTTTTTGTCAGTCCAGGATTACGTTTCCAACTGAGAAACCCAGAATTGCTTCAGATAACCCTTGATGAACTCCATTTGAATTGTTTCTCAGATCTTCCTTGGTGTCGCTGTCATCATCAACATTTTTCAAATTCTGCCTGAAATGGTGCCTGATCCAGTTGTCACAGTTGTCCATTCTTGCTACATGTCGGTGTTTAAAGATCAACGATTCAATGCTTTGACAGTTAGCTAATCCCAGAACTTTGTTGTTGGTCACATAGTAATTTCAGTTGATGTTCAAGATTAAATGAACCT